AGCAGGTAAATTTAGCATCATTAGAGAATAATTTACAGCTGAAAAAACTCAAAGTTCTTTTAAAAACATGTAGATAACATTTAAAACTTGGTAAGTTTTATTATTCTCAAGTGTGTTATGTAAGTTAGAAAAAAGCTTTGTCTTTTTCTTAGGCTAGAAAGGGCACTGACAGGTAAATAACAAGGAAGAAAAGGGCCTTGTCTCTATTTATTTCTTGACCTGGTAGAAATACTGTAACTGAAATTTATTTACACATACTTTGAACAAAGGGCCAATATTTTGTTTTTCATTTAGGTGGAGCATAAATGATGAAATTAACATTTCTCTTTCCATAGATGAAGATAAATACCAAGCTTCTCACATTGTTGAAGTATGTTAAGTGATATGGAAAATTTAATTATTAAAAGACTGTATTTATGACTTTTTCAAAATTGAATGTAGGGACCAGCAGTTGGTGTAATGGCTGTGTTGCTGAACTCCCATGTAGTCAACTGCGGTTCCAGTCCCCGACCTGGTGGCTTAAACTTATGCCAGGTGTGTTTGTGTGCATGCCTGAGATCCCAAGAGGAAAATGGAGAAGGGATTGCAGCATGATCATCCCCCCGCTGGGGGGTGATTTCTTGCTTTCTGTCCTTCTGTCTCTCTCTGTCTTTCTGACGAGTGCATGCGCCCTATAGAAAAAAAATCTCTCCAAAAGAAATATTTCAATGTGAGGGGCTGGCAGATGGCATGATGGTTAAAGCACTAGACTCCCACATGGCTGACTATGGTTCAAGTCCTGGACCTGGTGGCTTACATTCTGACTTTCTCTTTCTCTCTCTCCCTCTGTCTCTCTCTGATCAAGTTAATAATAATAATAATAATAATAATAATAATAATAATAATAAACAAAATTAAATAAATAATTCTTTTAAAATAAATGAATATGAGTTCCCTATTAATTTAGGCAGACCAAAATTCTTCAGTTAAAATTAATTAGATGAACAGAGATGTCTTCTACCTTGACTTAGTCTGCTTGCCTGCTTTCCTGCTGTTTGTTCGAATAGTTATAGTACAAAATGAAATTGATATGGCAAAGAACCAGCCTGCCTATATGGTAGTAGAAGTAGATTGTGTCTTAGTTGTGGTCTCCCTAAAAGTAGATACTGAGACAAGATTTGGTGTAAGGAGTTTACTTGGAAGTCATCCCAGAAGTATGGTGAGGAAATGAGGGAGTGAGGAAGTGAGACGGGGGTGGAAAGCCAATGAAAGAGGTGTTGATAAGTGATTATTGCTGGAGCTCCTTATTGCTGGGAATTCTTTGAGAAATTGTGTAGGCTACACATCAGGATTGAGGAAAACTGGGTGATTTACCTGGCATGGTAGGTAGAATAATGCCACACCACCCTAAAAAGTAACTATATCTACCTCCTAATCCCCAGAACCTGTAAATATGTTACCTTACATGACAAAAGAGGTCAAGCGATGGGATTGATGGGGGTATATCACTAGAGTCCTTGTAAGCGAGAAGTGGGTCAGGGTCAGAGAAGAAAATATGGCAGTGGAAGCAAATTTTAGAAAGAAAGATTTGAAGATGCTAAGCTATTGACTTTGAAGATGGATGAAGGGGCCATGAGCTAAAGAATTCAGGTGGACCCTAGAAGCTGGAAAAATCAACCTTCAGTAGGAACTAACCCTGCTGATACCTGAATTAACTCGTGGGACTGATTTTGGACTTCCGACCTCCTAAATATAAGAAAACAAATTTGTGTTTACTGCTTGATTGAAATAACGGTATTCTTTGACCAACATATTTTCAACGCATACCCCTCCTCATGCCTCAGTCTCTGGTTACCATCATTCTATTGTATGCTTCTATGAGTTCAGCTTTTTCAGGTTCCACAGTAAGTGAGATCACGTGCTATATATCTCTCTATGCCTGGCTTATTTCACTTCACATAATGTCTTCTTTGTTCATTATTTTTAAAGGATGAGTAATATTCTGTTCTGTATATATGCCATATTTTCGTTATTCATTGATCTGTTCATGAGCACTTAGCTTGATTGGCTGCTGTGAATAGGGCTACAACAAACACGAGCGTGCATGTCTCTCTCTGGCACGCTGATATCCTTTCCTTTGTACATATATCCAGTAGTGGGATTGCTGGATCATACGTAGCTCTATTTTCAGTTTTTGAGGAACCTCTATAGTGTTTTCCATAATAGCTGTACCAAAGTTCATTCACCCAGTGGTGTGCAAAGTTTCCCTTTTCTCTCCATTCTTATCAATAGTTGTAATCTTTTATCTTTTGATAATAGTCATTCTAAAAGCTATGAGGTGATATCTCATTGTAGTTTTAATTTGTATTTCTCTGATGATTAGTGATGTTGAACAATTTTTCATAAGGAGCATGTTGGACCCTGCAAGGGTTAGCCTTACAGGGGTTGCTGCACTTGGAGATGAAGTGAGATTAGAGGAGCTTAAGGAGAAGAAAAGATGACATCTGAAGATGAAAAGGAACAGTTAAAGGAACTTACTGAATTCAAACAATCTCTAGAATATAATTGGATCAGGAAATAAAAAAAATGGTGAATTAGAGGAAGAGATAATTGGATTTAAGAAGCTCTTATGAATGACGTGAAAGAATTTAAATGAATATGGAAATAGAGAAATTTGTTTCTAAGGAGATTTAAAAGATAGTCAATTTGAAATGGATATTCAAGTTAATATGCTAAAGCATCAGATTGATGATCTTACAGCAAACATGGAAACTGCATCTTCTAAATGCATCTGTATGCAGAAAATAAAATTCTTCAGCAGAAGTTGTCTTCTATGAAAACAATACAGAAGAAATGTGTAAAAAGAGATTAAGCTGAAGTTGGAACAAGAAGTTGTAAAGTTCAAAAGTCATATGGAAATGTATGGTACAACGTGTTCAAGTAGAACAATATAATTGGAATATTTAAGGAAGAGTAAGACAGTATATAGTACTTATAGTACAGTATGCATTCCTTTAAGAAGTCAATCTATTCTTTTTTTTAAAGAATTATTTTTATTTAACTTTATTTATTTATTCATTCATTCATTCATTCATTCATTTATTCATTTCAATTTGACCAGAGAGGGACAGAGCAAGAGAACGAGCAAGAGAGAGACATGTGGGAGTCCAGTGCCCCAACCACCACACTACCTGCTGGCCCTCGAAGGCAATCTATTCTTACAGACACAAGCAGCATCTCAAGAAAACTTAGAGCAGTTAAGAGAAAATAATTATGCTTCAATAAGAAGTCAGATAGTACTCAGAATGAAATATCTGGAAGCTGAACTCATCAAAATAAGAGCTTCTCAAGATTCTAATAAAACAGAATTGTAAAATATAAGCAACTCTATCTAAAAGAATCACAGGTTACAAAATCACTTTCAGATAAAAAAAAAAGCAGGAATTGGAAAGAAATATAACTAGATAACTCAAGGAAACTGCTATTGAATTTGCATCTGTATCTTGTAGAGCCTCTCCTTGAAGATCTATTGATGAGTCAAACTGAACTCAAGATTTACTTTTGAGAACATCACAAGAATATGTACACATCTTGAAGAAAAATTATATGATCTGAAAGATAAAATTTAAAATAAAAAAATATTTGCTAGAGGGTATGTGTACTTGCTGGAGGAGAAAGAGAGAGGGAGAAAGTGAGAAAGCAGCCCTCCATGGGCAATGGTCATGCCACAATCCCTTCTCTTCCACTTCTTTTGGGATTTTGGGCATTCATGCACATGTACTTGGCATGGTTTTTTGTTTTTGTTTTTTTTTTTGCCTCCAAGCTGCCAGGTCTGACATGCAAACCATGTAATTGGACATGTGAGATCCAGTCGTTGTAACACCACCATGCCACTGCCTATACCTAAAACAATTTTTTAAAAATAATTTATTTTGTTTGATAAAAAAGGTAAAATGAGGATGTATTTGTCTTTTTTCTGCTTTTCATTGTTTTTAAAAGTGAATTTTTATTCAATAAAACATTATATATTTTTTACTTTTTAAGACTTATTTTAAAATTTTATTATTTATTATTATTTAAATTTGCTAAAGGGCACATATGCTCACCAGAGAGAGTCAGAGAGAGAGAGGAGATGAGAAAGCAAGCTGCTACACCTGAGACTTGAACTGTGGTCAGCCATGTGAGAGTCCAGTGCCTCAACCACCACGCCACCTGCTGGCCCCAACATTATTATATCCTTAAAAGAAATTAAGGGTGAAAAGAAAACACACCACCAGCTTCAAACTATTTGGAACATGGTCATTCTAATACATCTTCATTTTTATTGATGCTTCCTTCTATTAATGCCTTGTATATTTCCAAGTGCTTGTAATCCTTGTCTTCATCAAACTTCTAGCTGATGTACATCAGTCCTTTCCAGTTGACTTTCATAAATATTAATTGATCATTGCTTCTACTGTTCATAGTAGTTATGTTGTGATAGAATAGTATAGTTCAAAAGCTCGATAAATATTTCACAAACACTTTTTCTTACCTTTGATCAAATTCTTTCTCCTGGTATGATTGCAAATGCTCCTCTTTGGAGCCAGAACTAGGCAACCTTGGCTTGCACATTGCCCTTTCCTGCTGTAATGTCTGCTCTCTGACATTGATTCAAGTGCAGCATTCCCTCTGAGCTTAAAAACTTAGAAAGTATCAGGAATAAAGCTTAAAAAATAAACTTGATATTTTAAAGGTGACATCCTTGTTCCTTTTCCAAAGCATTCAATAATAAGAAAACAAACATTTAGCCATCAAAATCTCTGTTCATTCAATAATGATATGAGGAATATTTGTTTTCTCTGTTGCATTTTTAAATAAATAAGAATAGAAACAAGACCATTATTATTATTATGTTCCTACTATTCACCCTTTTCTTATATTTCATACAAAAAAGTCTTTAACGTGTCAAACTGATGTAATACTAAAAAATCCAAGTTAAGAGATGGCTATTTAAATTTTATTCTCTTATTTTTTTCTAGTGAGAAGCTGGATGGAAAAACTGAAAGACAAGGTAAGGAAAGCGTTTTTCTTCCTTTGGATTTTTCATTAAGGGCATATAGTTTTTGTTTGTTTGTTTGTCTTAGATTTCTTTCTTTTTTTGTTTTGCCTTTTTTTTTTTTTTTTTTAGCCATAGGGTGTGTGGGCTCACTGGAGGGAGACAGAGAGATTGAGAGGGACAATGAGAAATCACACTCCCGAGGGGGTATGGCTATGCCAACAATCCCTTCTCCTCCTGGAATTCTGGCCACTCACATACATTTCCAGTATGATTTTCCAGCCACCAGGTCCAGGACTTGAACCATAGTCAACCATATGGAAGTCTAGCACCATAACTACCATGCCACCTGCTGGCCCTAAGGGCATATAGTTTTTTCAAATAAAAGATCTTTAGAGTAGTGAAGCTTTCGTTTATTATTATGATTTTGGTATTCTGATCAAAGATGCACTGCCACTTCTAGGTATCCAGCAAGAAAGACGTTTGTCCCTTAAATGCCTTCTTGTACACACAGGGGACTTTATTCTTTGGAGTGCCTTTCATTCTTTTTTTCTTCCCCCTTTTGGTGTGCATTCTTTATTGTGAAGAACTATTTTTTTTTTTTATTTACGTTCATTCTCTGTAAATCATTACAGCATACAAAATGAGATTTTCCATCCAGAATATTTTGCCTTTTTTCCCATCCTTGATTCCCTATCTCTCACCCTCTGCCATCTCCCACCCTCCTCCCACACTGTGTCTGGTATCTATTGTTGCTTTCTATGCCTTCCCCTCCACACACATTTTATTGTTTCACTCAATATCTTAATTAATTAAAATATTTCCAATAGCAAGCACAGCTGATATATTCATATCCATGAACACAAGTCTGACTTTAGGCATAACCCTCAGGAGTAGAATGAACATACTATAAAGTAGCACCTAGGTAGGGCTACTGCAGTCATCGAATAAGTATTTTTAATGCTTTTTTTAATTAAAAGAAAAACAATTTTAGTTTTTTTTAAACTTTTTTTAAACTTAATTTACATTCATTCCCTAAGCATTGTCACAACATACAAAATGTAATTTCCCATCCAGAATATACTGCATAGTGGCTTAATCATGCATGTTATCATCAAAAATTTTCCATTTCTAGTTTCATATATTTATCTATATACCTATGTCTGACGCTCTGTCCTTTCCCACCCTCTTCTCACACTATCTCTGGTATCTACAGTTGTCTTCCATTCTTTTCTTCCCCACATTGTATTGATCGCACAATTTCTTAAATACTCTAATTACTTTCAACAGCAAGTTCACTTAGTAATTTCAAGAAAAGCAGTTTTAACTTAAATCAAAGACATGCTAAGGAACTTTGCTTAAAACTTAAAGCCAGGAAACAGGTTAGGATTCTGCTCAAATGGTAGGTACATGAACCTATTGACAGCTCAAGACAGGACATACATCCTTAAAACTGGACCACAAAGCCTAGAAGAAAATCAGCAACGTTTTAGTCAAAAGTCATAAAATTCTATTTCACCAAATCGGTCTCATGTACTTTATCTTCTGTTGTGGTTCGATTTTCCCGATTAAATTCTGGGATATAATATTCAACTCCAGACTTGTCCCTATGATTAAGTTGGCCATTTTCTTAGTTTTTGAACTCTTATTTCTGTGTGTCTGTATTTAATTTTCCTGATATAGCACTCTCTTGAGAAGTTCTTGGAGATCTAGCCTGGTGCTGGTACATTTTTTCTTTATCTGAGAATGTTCTTGTCTTTTCTTCCCACATAAAGGATAATCTTGCTGGGTACAGTAATCTTGGTTGAAATTGCTTTCCCTTAACACTTTGAATATATTTTCCCATTCTTTCCTTGTTCACATTGTTTCTGATGAGAGGTCTGCTGTTAGCCTGATGGGATATCCTTTGTAGGTAACTTGATGTTTTTCTCTTGTCAATCTTGGTATCTTGTCTTTGTCTGTGGTTTTGGTCAAT